AAAATATATTTTTTAAATGTTATTTTACAAATCAAAGGTAGCTGGCAAAGAAAACTGTTGCATTTCTTAAGAGTTTGAAACTGGACCCAACTGCACTTTGAATAACACAACTTTTTTACTAATCTATTAGAATTTCCCTGTTGTGGGACAATAAAGGGGTTTTCTGTTTCTTTATAAGTCAATAATTCACATTCACATAAATGCATCTATAGGTTTATTTTTTCCGTTTCATGACAGAAGATTTCCAAATAGGATCACAATAACATCTAAATATACGAGATTGTAGCAAAAAGTCATATTGATGCAGATGGTAACCCAAATGTTGGGTTGACAATCAGCAGTTAAAACCCCAGCTCTGTCCTTCTTACTCACTGTGTCCTTTAGAACTTCACCTGGATTATAATCTGCCTATTGATGGAGTGTAGAGGCCTTCAATGGTGCCCGTGTATGGCTGCCTCACTTCTCCAGCTTGGGCTACAATCTCCCATACCACCTTCCATCAGAGTGTGAATGTATGCATAAATGAGTATGCAGTAAATGGAATGTAAAAACTGAATAAATAAAATGTAGTGTAAAGTTCTTTGGAGCCCTCTGACTTAAAAAGGCTTATTATAAATGCAGCTTCAGTGTCACCCTCACAAATATCTCAATTTACACAAATGGCACAAAGCCTGTTGGCCAGAAGTCTTTACCGTAATTTAACCATCCATCCAGGAGGCTAATTTTATTTGCAATTTAAATTACATCTTCTTTAACATATCTTACACTGTAATTGCAAAAACATCAGCAGTTTCTTCTTTTGAACAAAGCTGTGAAAATCTGCCCTCTTTGTTGAATCTGAAATAACTTTTATGTGCTGAGCTGGAAGTCTCCTCTCAAAATAAGGTTGTGCTAAGAGCCTATTGCAATCTGATTAGAATATTTTTGTGTTACTCGAATTGATATTTGAAACTTTGAGTGTTTTTGGTTTTTATTTAGCCTCAGAAGATCATTTCTGACAAAAATCTTAATTGTGTTATCATATAGAAGATAACAGAAAATGCTGTGGTGGTGGTGGTACATAGGCTGGAGGAATGAACACATCCCGCCACAAAAGCAGTTCTTAGTTTATGAACAAGCTAGTTAGATATTTGTTTTACCATCATTATCGTGTTGTTCTTCATGTCAAACTGTGTGGTTTTGACATCATGATGCAATTTCCGAGGTTTGCCTCATCAGTGAAGCTTTATGTCTTTTTGGTACCTTAACCTATTTAAGCAAGTTAAGTGTTACTAATGTAAAATAGTCATGACTTAAATCAATTAAAGAAATTTTCTTAGTTAGCTCATGAAAACATTTGCAGATATTTCAGTAAGAGTGTTAAAAATGTTTAAAATTGCCAAAAAATATATTGAAAATGTAGCTTGCTATTTATTTTGATGATACTTGATTAATATCTTTTGTTAAACACATTTTTCAAACAAACTAACAATATGCTCTTATTCTTTTGTTATAACTATGATAATATTTCAGGATAATTTTTTCATACATTTATTAAATATGGCCATCTTTAGATGTATGAGTAAAATTTTCTTTTGTTAATAAGCACATTTCTAAATACTACATTTCCAAATACTACATTACAACTTCCTGATAATCGGAGGAAGGAATTTTCTTTCCAGTAATGTGAAATCAAGAGGTGCAATTCTATTTTATTTCTTAGCTTTTGAAAGGTTTTAATGAGGTTGGAATTATTACGATTTAAATTGTTTACTATTTACGAGCAAAACGAGATTTTGTCTTTTATTTGTAAAAATAAATAAATAAATAAATAAATGACCATGTCAATGTTGTTTAATTGTTTTATTTTGAAAGACCTTTCCCGGATGGGACGTCACACAATCGTTACTCCCAACATCTTTTATTGTGAAAACTTTAAACGGAAACTCGCATGTTTTCCTGGTTTAGCTACTTTTTTATCCATTGGTTGACTTTATTTAAGTCTGTAACTGCAGAGGGATTGCAGATGAGGTAGCTATAATAATTGCAACACCTCAAAAAATATTTATCTCTGTCTTAATACGCGGAAATCGCATTAAATAAACAAGCTAGTCTTCGTTCAGCACTTAGCCTGGTTAGCTAGTTTTCGTTGCTAACAACTTTCCATTCATTGCAGCCTGTGGCACTCTTCTTTGTTATAGCTTTTCTAATAACAAAATTAGCTGGTTTCACTTCAGTAGCTGGATGGTTCAAACTCTAGAATTTAATTGGTGTAAACTCGGTTATTCTAGTGAGGTTTTACGTTGATAGACGTATTACTACGGTGTTTTGTTTATAGCTAGCAGCCGGGGGCTAAACTGTGTTGATAAAAAGCTGATATTTGGCAAAATCGGTTCATTCCCAGTATACCATTTAACTGCGTATTTCTAAACTGATTAGCTTGATTCTTTCCCGATTTGTGTGTAATATAAATCTGATAAGTTAATGTCTAAAGGTTTAGGTAACTCAGCTTCAGGCACTTAGCTTATTGAAGTTTAGATTTTCCCTGACACAATTTCTTCAGATTTTTGATTGCTGTAGATTTGTCTTCCACGTGCAAATGTAAAACTTGTAAGCCCTCTGTTTTTGGAGTTTATTAAAATCCTAAACTGCACAACGAAGCCTTTTCATAAAACTGAAAATCCACCTGACCCCGTTACTTCAAAACCAAAACACCCCTTACTAGATAGAATAGAAAATCCTTTATTGCCCCAGACTAGGGGGAATTGTGGACCTTACAAATATAAGAATAAGTGGCACATTTAAAAAAACAAACAGAAGACTGTACTGTACAGTGCTTTTACAAATATAAACACTCTACAGTCATCTGAAGAATAAATAATCAATATACAGCTATATGTGAAAATAGCAGCATCACCAGAGATGTGCAAAATGACTGCAGCATATTATTTTAGTGACTAAGACAGAAACAGATGAACAAAATATAAATATGAAGTTGGGGGCATATAATATATTTAGAATTGCAGTCTATGATTAGATGATTAATGGGGAAATGGGTTTCTTGGCTGATCTAAAGAACAGAAGGATGCCTGATAAATATTTTTTTGGGTAGATGTTGAAAATGTTATTAAGGGATAGGCTTTCTTAGAACGGCTATTTAATAATGAATGTAAGGACAAGTATAGCATAGAGGAAAGAGTGAATGAAGTTGATGTATCATAAGAGATGTTGTGAATAAGTAGTTGGAGCTTTAATTGATGGTTAGCGGCAGATAGGTTGAGGGCCAAGTGATGAATAGATAAGTGTATTGATGAATGGAAAATTCTGAAACAAGTGCATTATTTGATGCAAGTTTCTTACGTCTGTTAGTTAAAGTCAATGCTTACAGCCTAAATTGATCTGAAGAATTGATTAAGAGTTACAAACTTTCAACTAGGGCTGCAACTAACCACTTTTTTGCTAATCGGTTCATCTTTTGATCATTTTTTTAATTATTCAACTGATAATTGGATAGTAATAGATTTTAATAAAAAATTCAAACCAGCTGAGGTGAAAACTATGCAACTTCAATGGTTTGAAATTAGTGCATTGACTTTTTTTCCACTTGAATGCAAAATATATATATATATTACTTTGTAATTTGGGTATAGTTACTGCTCTGACAGGGTATGTTTGCTAATGGTGCTAATGGTTTGTTTTAGTCTCACTTTTCTACAGTTAATGGATAATCGATCACAAATTGGTTGACAATTATTTCTATAATCCATTAATTATTTTAAATCCAAATAATTGTATTGGCCCTGATTTAAACAGAGCACTTCGATTGGTAACAAATTATTGCACCATGGATGAAATTACGATTTGGTTATATTTACTTTGTTTAATATTAATCCCTTAGAAATTGATCTAATCTCTTATTGAGTGACAGATTAATTGCGTCAAAAATTAGCCAATTAGAAATATTCTGGGGCTATAAATGTGTCACATGCTCTTGGGATTTCTACATTTGAATACAAATATCTGTACTTTCCACTCTCTACTTTCTCCAAACTGTCCTGTTTCCTCTATACATATTGATTACAACATGATGTAAAAGCTGCAACGAAACAGGGATAGTCATGAAGAGAAAATGTGCAGTTTAAGCACTGCTAGTTTATAGAAATGGACATGGATGAATACGGGGGGGCCAGAAAACTTTGCTGCTAATGGATCAGATTCTGAGAAGCAAGACATTCCCCATTTATTCCCTTTTAATTAGATTTTATATCTACATGCTGATTATCTTTCGAGTACTATTTCAATTCTGTTTGCCACTGTAATGTTGTAAACTCTAAAAGTATTCAGTTGTTTATGCATGACTTCCATTCAGTTCGTTCCATGTAATCCTGTCTAAAATTTAAATTTAGAACCAAAATAGACAGAGTCAATATTTAGGGTTTCTCTACCAACGCTATCAGCTAATAAGGAAAATTATCATATTTTCTGTTCATAGAACTGTTTTATAAGGATAATTTTTGCATTTTTACTCTGTGAAACACGATAAACTTAATTTTGCTTTTATATTAAAGTATGTTGTAGAGGCTTTACTTGTTTTACATTTTCTTAAGTAAATTAGTTCAATCAGTACTTTTACTTTTTCCAAAGTCTTTTTTTTTCTTAAACACATGTATCTGTACTTAAACTTATTATGAATGTGAGATCTTTCCAGAAATCCGCTTCCTCTTTAAGACAAGTCGGTCAACCCTTGCTCTAAGCTCTCGTTGTACTGCACATAAAGAACGCCATTAAAATAAAATCAGATATTTAATGTATAAGAGCTATGAAGGTAATATGATATGATTTGAAAATTGAGAAAAAAATGGATTCGAAAAATTTCGCTGCAATCAATGGCAGACAAATATTATTTCAATTGAAATAGAAAATTGATTTTCAAAAGCTTAACATTTCTTTTTTTTTCTCCGTTTAGTCTCTTCTCCCCATCATTCCTTAAAGTTATGGTGAGGGAAGAGTAAGAAGAAAGGGCCACTAAACACTTTCCAATGGATTCCAAGAACGATGAAGCACTGGACATCATTGTTACGAATGTTGTGGCAACTTTCAGGACCAGATGTCACCTCAACCTTCGCAAAATTGCTTTAGAAGGAACCAACGTCATCTATAAGCCAGAAATGGGGGTAAGGGGAACTTAACCAAGAGGAACCATATCCTCATAGTAGGAAGAAATGGGAAAAAAAGGAAAATGCTGGATCTTTAAAAGTTTGTCAAATGTTTGTTTTTTAGAAAGTGCTGATGAAACTACGGAAGCCCAAGATAACCGCTTCAATTTGGTCCTCAGGGAAAATAATCTGCACTGGAGCAACTAGGTGAGCAAACCTCATAGAAAATATTGCTACATACATGTAGAAGTTGGCATCTGGTCAGAACTAACACTGTAATCACAAGCAGGGCATTTTTCTTTTACCTGAAAAGCTAAGCACTTGTGCTGCCACTTAATTGCTACAATAATAGTAAATGTTGCTGATCTGTTGCTAATACTCCAGCGGCATTATCATGAGACTTACTGTAGATCATTATTGAATAAAGCCTCAGCTTCTTCCTCTAGAGGGTGATAATCATATATTCTGAGAGATGCCTTAAAAAAGCTACTTCAATCAAAACGTTTTAAATTTGCATTATTAAAGATGGACCATCTTTTATTATTTAAAATATTTAGGATGAGGTTGGATTTTTTGCTACTGGATTGTATTGTATTTGGGAGGCTTGTTATTGAATAAATGACGGAAAAATATTGTAATTTTAAAACACGATATTTTATGAATAGACTTTCAAAGAGTATGTTAAAAGAATGAATTCAGAAGGTGGGCAAAACTATTGCTAAAGATAAAGAAAATACAAGGTATTCCCAAAAAAGTA